AATCAGAGGCGACGGCAGCGCGGTGGCGGACGAGTCCGATATTAAATTTAACTAATTTCCATATCGGCGGCGCGGACGCGAAGGGACGAGATCTAAAATCATGAATAAAAAAGCCGCGGCGCGCGCCTCCTTTGACATCGGCCTCTGCGCTCGACGGCAGCGCGTGGGCGAGCAGCGGAAGGCAGGCGCTGAGACGAGATGGGCGTACTCGCGAGTGGGACGTGTACGTCAACTACGGGTACTTAAATCATTTATTCCGTACGTGTAGTGCAATTTATAACTGTGGCGTTGATTCAGTAATTGTTAGTAACTTCGGGCATGTAACTACTAAAATTATTAATCCCGTAAATGTACTGCATGTTTTCTCTTCGGTAGTCTTCTCCGCTCTATGGGGAGATCCGGCGCCGACCTACCATTGGCTAACGGGGTTTTTCCCCAAACAGGTATCTCCCATTAGCGGGGTATTACCACAGCTACGACAAGCTCTAAGCTCTCAGCGCGTGTGGTTGTTTTGTGCATATTAGTGTGTGTGTAAGGAGGTGAGGATAGGACAAGGAAGGAGGAGAAGAAGAAGACGAAGAAAAAGAAGACGGAGGAGACGAAGAAGACGAAGAAGACGAAGAAGACGGAGGAGACGGAGGAGACGGAGGAGACGGAGGAGACGGAGGAGACGGAGGAGACGGAGGAGACGAGGAGACGAAGAAGACGGGGAGACGAAGAAGACGGAGGACGAAGAATACGGAGGAGACGAAGAATGACGGAGGAGACGAAGAAGACCGAAGAAGACGAAGTGAAGACGAAGAAGACGGAAGAAGACGAAGAAGACGAAGAAGACCGAAGAAGACCGAAGAAGACGAAGAGACGAAGAAGACGAGAAGACGAAGAAAGACGAAGAAGACGAAGAAGACGAAGAAGACGAAGAAACGAAGAAGACGAAGAAAAGACGAAAGAAGACAAGAAGACGAAGAAGACGAAGAAGCGAAGCAAGACGAAGAAGACGAAGTTAAAGACGAAGAAGACGAAGAGACCGAAGAAGACGAGAGAAAGACGGAAGAAGACGCAAAGAAGACGAAGCAGACGAAGCAGGACGAAGCAGACGAAAGTAGAACGAAGAAGACGAAGAAGACGAAAGAAGACGAAGAAGACGGAAAGAGACGGAAAAGACGAAGAAGACGCAAAGGAAGACGAAGAAGACGAGAAGACGAAGAGACCGAAGATATAATGACGAAAGAAGACGAAGGGAAGCGACGAAGAAGACGAAGAAGACGAAGAAGACGAAGAAGCACGAAGAAGACGAAGAAGATCGAAGAAGACGAAGAAGACGAAGAAGGACGAAGAAGTACGAAGAGCCCGAAGAAGACGAGAAGACGAAGAAGCCCCGAAGAAGACCCGAAGTCAAAGACCCCGAAGAGACGAAGAAGACGAAGAAGACGAAGAAGACGAAGAAGACGAAGAAGACGCAGAAGACGAAAGAAGACGAAGAAGACGAAGAAGACGAAGAAGACGAAGAAGACCGCAAGAAGACGAAGAACGACAAGAAGGACGAAGAAGACGAACGAGCACGAAAGATAGACGAAGAAGACGAAGAAGACGAAGAAGACGAAGTAAAAGACGAAGAAGAGCGAAGAAGACGAAGAAGACGAAGAAGACGAAGAAGACGAGAAGACGAAGAAGACGAAGAAGACGAAGAGACGAAGAGACGAAGAAGACAAGAAGACGAAGAAGACGAGAAGACGAAGAATGACGAAGAAGACGAAGAAGACGAAGAAGACGAAAAGACGAAGAAGGGACGAAGAAGACGAAGAGACGAAGAAGACGAAGAGGGACGAAGAAGACGAAGAAGACGAAGAAGACGAAGAAGACGAAAAGACGAAGAGACCGAAGAAGACCGAAGAAGACGAAGAAGACCCGAAGAAGACGGAAGAAGCCGAGAAGACGAAGAGACGAAGAAGACGAAGGAAGACGAAGAAGACGAAGAGACGAAGAAGAACGAAGAAGACGAAAGAACACGAAGAAGACGAGAAGACGAAGAGACGAAGAAGCACGAAGGAAGAACGAAGAAGACGAAAGAGACGAAGAAGACGAAGAGGACGAAGAAGACGAAGAAGCGAAGAAGACGAGACGAAGCAGACGAAGAGACGAAGAGACGAAGCAGACCGACGAAGAAGACGAAGAAGACGAAGAAAGTACCGGAAAAAGAAGAAGACCCGTAAAGAAGACGAAGAAAGACGAAGGACAGAGACGAAAGAAGACGGAAGAAGACGAAAGAAGAACGAAGAAGACCAGAAGAAGACGAAGAAGACGAAGAACGACACGAAGAAGGACGCAAGAAGACGAAGAAGACGCAAGAGACGATAAGAAGACGAAGAAGACGAAGGAAGACGAGAAGAAAGACGAAGAAGACGAAGAAGACGAAGAAGAAAGCGAAGAGCGAAGAAGACCCGGAAGACAGAGACCGAAGAACAGAGACGAAGAAACGAAAGAAGACGAAGAAAGACGAAGAAAGAGAAGAAGACGAAGAAGACGAAAGAAGACGAAGGATAGACGAAGAAGACGAAAGAAGACGACAAGGAAGACGAAGAAGACGAAAAAGAAGAGAAGAAGAGCGATTAGAAGACGACAGAAGACGGAGACGAAGAAGGACGAAGAAACTGAAAGAGAGAAAGACGCAGAAAACGAAGAAGACGAAGAAGACGAGAAGAGAAAAGACAGAGAAGAGCAAGACGTAAGAAGACGAAGAAGACGAAGGACAAGGAAGAACCGAATTAAGAGAGGGAACGGAACGAAAAAGGAGGTACGAAAAGAACAGAAGACGAAAGAAGACGATAGAAGACGAAGAAGATCCGGAAGAAGACGAAGAAGACGAGAGAGAAGACGAAGAAGACGAAGAAGACGAGGAGAAGAGACAAGAAGACGAGAAGACGAAGAAGAAGAAGAAGAAGACGACGAAGAAGAAGACGAAGAAGAAGAAGACGAAGAAGAAGAAGAAGAAGAAGAAGAAAAAGAAGAAGAAGAAAAAGAAGAAGATCACGCGCGCTCCGTGGACCGTTTGTTAGCATACTGCTCTTGCAGATCGGAGAAACCACGGAAAATTACCGATCAGAGTACCAATCCGCTAGACAGCGGCTGAATTCATTCTAGCTTTCTAGCTAGTGTAAAAAATCCTCCACAGTCGGGACTCAAACCCAGGACCTTCCTGTCAGAGTCCCAGCCGCCATGTGGCGCGCTCAATGGCAGGAGGGGCGAGGGCTCTGGAGCCGAGACTAATTTCAGCTGCTTAACTGAAAATGATGATTTCTGTATGTGTAAAACTTCAAATTCTCGCTTTTCACCGTCAAGTTGCAAGTCATATAGTTGTGTCGAAATGTAAACGCTCCTCACAGTTTCATAAGGCAGAAGAAAACGCGTATAGGGAATACGACCTGCTTAACACAGGTCTCCCAAGACGATTGCTATAAGGCTGTGACGCCAAGGCAAAGAACTGGTCTTCCCGAGGCTGTAGCATCAGAATACGTACATAAATACTCCGGAAACGCGGGTAATCGGCCTGTATTTTCATAATTTTTAAGAAAGTACAGGTATTAGTGATGCATACCAAACATAAATAACCACAACAATAATTACAACAAAATGAAATGGCTCAATGATGGAGAAGTAGAAGTAAAAATAGGAAGTGAGAGAGAATAAAAGGTAAAGAAGAACTTTATTAAGACAGAACAGAAATTGGAAAAGAAAACAGAATTTTCAAGAGTGAAGAAATTGAAAATAGAGTGGAGAATATTTATGATCGAAAGATCTGCGATACGATCGCATCAGTTCAGTGGGTATAGATATTGCATAAATATAATTATATTAAAGCTACTTTTACACTTGTCAGAACAGTTCACATAATTAAAAACACAGCTAACTGATGCGTCATGGATCGAAGTGAATAGTGAATAAATAGTAGGGTAACAGTAAAGAGAAAAGATAAAGAATTCCCGTCAATTACGTATGACTATAATTCGAAATAATATCTGGTTAACAGTCTACAACCAGCAGAAGAAACACAGATGGTGGCAATATCTATAATTAACTATTTAACAGCTTAAAAGAAAAAAAGGAAGAATAGAAGAAGCATGCAAATTCTACGGAGAAAAACATACAAATACCCAAGAGAATACAAACGTAGCTGTACTATTAACCTGACAGATAGCGAAATATTAACTACAACACAACTATAAAAAACAAACAAAAAGTAATAGAATGTTGTATATATTACTACACAAATAAGATTTTATTAGGCTTTTTTCACAGAAGATTTCTAAAACAAAATCTAAAACAAACGGTGAACGCATTGGAGAGATAAATTGAACTTCACTGTAACATTGGAATAACTAAAATGCTTTATAAAACAAATTCGAATTCAACGATTAATTAATTTTGTAGGTTAATTTTTGTAAAATTAAAGTTTTAAGTTCTGGGAAGTAAATTAAAATCAATTTTCAATTAGTTATTACTATGTGTCAATCCTTTACTTTGGGTGATTTGATGATTAGTTTAGCAATGTTTGTACGTTCTGTATATTTTTAAAGATGCTTAATACGTCACAGACATTTTTATCGCGTGATGTGTTTTATAAACATTTTCCTTTAATTTCTATCAAACGACCAATTTTTACCACTATAATACTCATTTCAATTACACTAATATATTATGGCGCTGATTATGCTAATGCATTTTTATATTTCATTGACAAATATCAATCAGAGACCGTTGCTAACAATTTATTTCGAAGTCACAGCTTGTAGAGCATTCGTGTCTTTTGGATTTTGCAAGCAATACAAACATCTAAAATTCCCAGTATTCATCGACATCTCCATCACTATCAGACTTTTAAGAACGTTCTCTTTGTACTTCTATTATTCCCTCTCTCCCTTCTCACCAGCCCTGCCCCTACTTCATTGTATCTTGCCATCTCTTCTGTTCGTCTACACCGCATCAAATCGGACCATTGTCACCTCCACAACGATCTCGTGTCGAGCGGTTTCTCTGCACTCGTCTACTATTCCTCCCTTCCGCGTTCCACTCTCCATTCAATTCCGGGACGCAGCCACAGTCGCCGCGCGCTGTGGACACAAAACAGGAATTATTTACGCCGTAATGAGCAGCGCAAGTCTTTTTAAAGCCGACAACTCACAGCTCCCGTGTTTCCCCACCGCCGCCGTCCGCCACTGCGAAAGCAGAAGCTTCCAGGCTAGTCAATGGTTGCTTGCTTGACTAATTGATTGATGTTTTCGGACACGTCACCTTCTATGATCAATAGTTCTGATGGTGTAGTGAATGTTTTATCCCGCAAAGTGCCATGTGCCTTTCACGTAGGGTGGCGAGATCCACGTTGACTTGCCGGAAATATCCTCCTCGGGGTATCATCCCTTAATGGGACACTGCCCCTGTTGAAGTTGTAAGCTTCAGGCTATTCTCCTGATGTGTATGGTAGTGTAGTGCATGTAATTTACCAGGAAAATGTGTATTTAAGGGGAGAGGATAGACAAGAAAAACGAAAGAATGGTCGTTTAATAGGGTTTAATTTAATTTATTATTTGTTTAAATTTAATATAAATAACTGTTTGAAAATGGAGAAAGTATATTATAAACATTTAGAGTTAAACAATTCCAGAATTTATTTATGTTTATATTTTAAAAAATGTCTAAAATATACCGGGGAATATCTTACCTAAGCAGAGAATATTGAAACATCTTTCGTAAGCTTGTGCAAACTTTTGATATACATATTGGGATTTGGCAAATTGCATTTGAGCAAAATATTGTTATCCATATCAAACATGCTGACCTCTACAGTAACTTCTGGGTTCATGACTGGCTTCATTAATGATCTAGTCGAAATATTCAGTTATCCTATAGAGGATTTTGTGGAATTGTGTGCTTTATTGACATGCAATCAACACGCTATGTTTATCACTCCACATGTTGGCAAATATTTGAAACGTAAAAGTGATTGTAAATTACATTAGCGTCGCGTATTGATTTTGTTAACATAGACCATTCGTTATATTACAGTGATATAAATGACCATACGCTCACTGTATGATTTTCTTCTATTTACCATAGGCGTGAAGTTCTTATTGTGAATAATAACAAAATACTAATGAACTCATGTAATTTAGTTAATGATGTTTGTTTTGTAAATACTTTAAACAGGTATTATCATATGCAGAAACAATGTGCATACTTACATCTTTCCATTGTTAAAGTATTTAACAATAATGTATATTCATTAATAATGAACCGCAAAAATACATTACAAAAATAAGTAAAACCAAGAGGAGAGATCTTATCAGTTCATATATTAAAAGATAAAGTCTGATGACTTACTTGAATGGTAAGGTTAATGAAGAAAGAGTAGCTTGCTGGATTTACTATGGATAATGAAATATACGATATGTGATGAAAAACGAAGTTTTTTGTAGAAAATCACATAAATGATGAGGATAAAAAGATTTTTTAATAAGTACCGTAATGTCAGATATGAAATGATGTGTCTTTGCTAAAACCAAATTAGTTTTCAAAAGTAGAGATACAAAAAAACAGACATGGATGAAATATACTGCAAACTTATATGAATCAAGACATTACTAGTTCTCGAAAGGTTTTGTTGGCTTTCCTTTGTGACATGAGATTATCTCCACAATAATTTTACACTGACACGTAACAACTCTGTGCTTTTTAGAATGGTTATATTTATTTGACAATAAGTATGGCACACGTTTCAAAATTCTCAAAAAATTGAGAGTAGAGTAACATTAGTTCATAAAGTCACAAACACAATAAAAATTAAGTACAAAAGAAAAATACTACAAAAACAAAATAAAGAAATACTTCTTTTTCAACCATGAAAGAAAGCAAACAAGTCTTTAAGGTCTTGAATTTTGCCGAAGGCAAAAGTTACCCCCAAACTCACCAAATAATTACAGCAGATTTACAAATATCAAACTAGTGTAACTGTTTTATAACGCAGATACAGGAAAAAGATTTCATAGGCTTTTAACAAAAAAGTTTCATTTCCTCAATTTTCGTAAAAACGAGCGTTCACGAAATGCATTCAGCGCCTAGACGCGGTGGATCGTATTGAAGGACGAGATATATAGCAATGATAATCACAAAATGTTGAAATAGGCTGCAGATTGCAGTGCCAAAATGAGAGTATACAGTGAGATGCAGTGTAGCGCATAGAAGGAGCAAACACAGGAAGATAGTGAGAGCGTAGGCTTCCGCGGCCGGAGTCAGTATTTCCTAGGCTGTCCGGGTGACGCAGCGTACATGGCGAAGGTGCTGACGTTTCGGTCGCCATTCTGCGACATTCCACATGGCATTACGCCCTAGTAAATACAGGAAGATAGACCGGAATTAGAATGGACTACAAGGATCCTTGAAGGAGAACAACGGGCGGTGTTTGGCGAATATCACGGGATGAGCAATACGCGGACGAGAATATCGAGTCTAGTCTGTTTGGCTGCGATAAGTTCAAATCTGATCAGGACGCACCAAATGTTAATATGCCGTTTCGCATCTGATCAGATCAGATTCAGTCGAGAGGTGCAAAAAGAGACAGGCTGATGGTGGAGGAAAAAGGCAAATAAGAGGAAAGAGTCAAGATAAGGAGAGAGGCAAGGAAGGGGAAAGGGGCAAGGAGGAGGAGTGGGGCAAAGAGGATATGGACAGGTGAAGTTGGTCTAGATGAAGAGGCGAGGGGCAACGAAGAAAGGGCCACAGAAAGAAAAGGGCAACAAAGAAGGCACAAAGAAAGAAGGGGTCACGAATGGCAAGGGGCAAGGCAGAGCGGTGCAAAGCGGAGCAGAATGGAAAGGGCCGGGGCGGCGTGATGGTGCGAGTTGGAGGTGAGTTGAGCCTGGGTGGATCCCCATCCAGGACAAATAACCAAAGCTCCAGAGCCGAACGTGGCTAGCCAATGGGGGATGATATGAATGAAAACAGCGGGAAATACGAGGCGACGTGGCCGGCGCAGCGCGTGTGTGTGTGTGTCGTCCCAAGAGGAGAGGCCACACGGGCGAATGGGTGGCCGTCAGCCGCGCCGCAGCGAAGCGCCGGGAATGAAACGCGCCCGAGTCGACCTGTCGCCGCGGGCAGAGGACATTCAAATATCAATTCGGCGCACTCCACCCGGTGTTAGTGCTTCGCTTTGAGCGCCGCCGGGCAGGTTGGCGCAGCCAGCGGCCGCACGGAATTAGGGAGCGGCCGGCAGGGAGGGCTCCGCGGTTTCGGTGGCGGCGGCGGCGTCTGGGGACTGGGTGTGAGGTCAACGTGGGGGGGGGCGGTTGGGGCGGTAGAGGCGATGCAGGTGATGAGAGTGACGAGGATGATGGAAGCGGTGGAGGTGAAGGCAGCGACTGGGAGGGGTAGGGCTGGTGTGGGACTGTTTGATTCGGCGAGGGCAGTAGCGGCGGTGGGTGTGGTAGGGTGGTAGGCTTAGTAGGGTGGTTCGGGTAGTGAGTGTGGTGGTGTCTGTGAGGGCTCCGGCGGCCGTGAGAGTGATCAAGGTGGAGGAAATCGTGGTGAACTGGACTAAATGAAGCGAAGGCATCATGAACGTAAATAAACCATGGTTCAGTTCGTTGTTCAACCAGACGTTTTTTACACTTCTCTCAATAGTGCTGAAAATTCATCTTCTCATTTAATGAGTTAATTTGAATCTCGAAGGACTACGCTATGATTTGTACTGAATTGATAATTCCCTACCAAATTCGTAGAGAATTCAAGTTCAAAAGATCACCCCCCTTCCGCGATAAAAACAAACAAGCACTACCCTGACGCGACTATTGTTGATGCACGCGGAATCACCAATCAACCACTCAATAAACCCGAGCATTGAAGAAGACCAATACACCAACCAACCCGAGTATTAGAGAAGACCAATAGCTAGAAACGCGAGAAGTGTAAACTAGGAAGAGGACAAGGTAGACAATGGAAGCTCCGAGAGCGGAATGGCGAGAGCGCAGCGAGGAAAGCGGAGAGGGCGGAGTCTGCATTGCCCGGGACGCCCCTGGGTGCCTTCCACCTGCCGCGACACAACTTGTTCATTAGCGCCGTCGGCGGCGAGCGTGACGCGGGGGGGGGGCCAGCGTGCGGCTGAGACCGGAAACGGGAACGAGAGCAGAGACGTGTCTCGGATCTACCATAATGTGCCGCGCCAGGAGGTGCCAGGGTATCGTAGGGATGATAGCTGTTCCTGCCGAAATTGTCCGCGGTTAGAGGTCCAGGTTAGACGTTTCGGCGCATAAGAGTCCAGAGGTGGAAAACAAGTGATGTACGAGGAAGGGGCTGCGAAAACTCCGAAAGCAAAAAGTGCGTGCGGGGGGATGACGCTGGGCGGCGAAGGAGGCAGGTGGCGAGTGGTTAGCGAGCAGACGTCAGATGACCAGACAGTTGGGCGATGATCCGGGCAGCGTTTCGAGAGTCAGCGCTGCCGCGATTCCGAGTCCGGGCACTAGGGTACGCTAGGTCGGTGGGCAATCGCATCAGGCCGGCCTAGGTTTGGTAGTAGGGTGGGGGTAGAATTGTAAATAGGTGGCGGAAGCGGGCAGGGCGAGTTCAGATGAACGGCATGTGTCGATCGTGAACGGCGCTATTAGTGAGCGTGGATGGATTAGCACGAGTGTGGATAGAAGTAGCGGGGAGGAATATGTGGCAGGGTCAGCGCTGCGGGCTCCTTCGGGCAGGCTGGGCGTACGAGTTGTGTTGGGGCGAAGTTAGAGGAAGATTAACCTCGGTACACGACCAGTCTGGTAGGGGAGTGGCGGCGGAGGGGAATGGAGGCGGTGGTGAGGGTGGGCGGGCTGCATTGCCATTGGGAGCGCCGGAGAGGGTGGGTGGCAAAGAGACCAGGGTTGTGCCAGGCAGCGCCTCGGGGAGGGGCAGCTGTTTGCACACGCCACTACTTTGCGCGAGGTGGCGACACGACCAGCACGGATAGCCGGCAAACCAAATGACTGCTGCGTCGTCTGCATAAAGAGGACATGTGGTTTTCTAACGTGAGGATCCGCTGATTGAGTCTCCATGGTGTTTCAAATTCACAACAGTTGAATGAAAT